CAGTTCTGTACTCGTGCAGTAAGAAGCTGAGTATTTAAAGAATAGATTTGAATGAAATTAAAACAATACAAAAGAAAGTTAGCGCTTTGGCTTTTATTTGCAAAATGAACTCTATTCTCTCCTGAAAGTATTTTGTAGCCTAGAAACTTTGATTGCATTACTTTAAGAATTCCATGGTGAAAGAACTGCTACACTGATAAATCCAAATGAGGAAAAATGCACTCTGCATCTCAAACAATACCCCAATTTTATTATAAGGTGGGGTTATTTTTGTTGTTTTGGTTTTTTACCAATCTGCTGTTCATCATACCTACAGTACTAACATTTGCATTTGTGGTAGCCAAAATAGGTAGCAGTACTCCATTTTTTGCTGATAAAATAATTTTACATAGTAAATACAAAGAATTAAAGTGAAAATATTTTTTGACAATCCTGCATTTTACTTTTGGAGTTGTAACTTCTAGCTAGCAATTCACTCTCTGCAAAAAATAATGTTCTGTACTTGGCTGCAACTTTTGTGTAAGTGCAAGCAACAACTGCAGTATTTTTTTAGATGAGCCACACTGATAGCTTTGCACTTCCTTGAGGCCTCTTCTCTTCTCACTGAATGAACTCCAGGGAATGGCATCATGTCGGGCTTTCCAGATGGATTATGTGAAGCCATAGCTCAATGTCATTTTCAATAGCAAGGCTCATAATTAAAGGTCAAATAGTCACTTCATCTGCAATCAATCAATAGACGAAGTACTAATACTAAGTACTAATCAATCAATGGCAAATGCACTAATAAAAGCCATGCATCAAATGTCCGCATATCTGTGTGCTCACATGTACTGTGCATATATGTGAGTAGGGAGAAGGAGAGAAAGAGAACAAAGTGTGGGTGAATATGCCAGAGGGCATTGTGAATACTGTATTTATCTTCTCTCCTTGTAACTTTATATCCTGTTTCACTCATTAAGTGAAATACAAATAAACATGAATTTTTCTGCATACGTGATGCACTGTATTCAAAAAACTGCCAAAGCACCCACCTCTATGCAGAAATATCAGCTTGTGTTCCTAACTAAGAAACACAAAGGCACCTACCCTGTTTAATTTGTCCTTACACAAACATGCCCTGCACTCTGATCTTTGAGACAAAAAGTGTGTCAACTGTTCTGTCTACAAAATAAAACGCAGCATATGGGAACAGCACTTATCTCCGTGCAGAGCAAGCACTTATTCATGGATTCAACAGTGGAAGTGGCAGTTGGCCTCATGAGCATGCACTGCATGGGAATTAGTTGGTTTCGTAATATGGTGTGGGAGAAAGTGACTTATAAAAGTCTTCTCATGCCTCTCCTATTACCACTTCTAAAGCTTTAAAGCTGTCAGCTCTTCTCCTACTTTAGTCGGTGCCATTCTAAGCTCCCCAGGGAATGGGCCAGACATACCTATTTGGAGTTTCACCTGCCAAGCTGAGAGAAATCAGTTTCAAAGTGAAAGAACAAGTGTTGGGGGGTCATTTATACACTACCACTGGAATCTTGAAGACAAACAAAGCAGAGCTCCACAACGGATGTGAAACCAGACCCTGAGCTGTATTTGTGCTTTCAAGCATTGTAATGACAGAGGGAGAGGGAAAAACTCTCTCCACTACAAGAGAACAGAAGGCTTCTCATTGCATGGTTTATAGTAAACACCTCTGGACAAGTAGAAATGTGACAGAACAACAAAAGAGCAAGGGCCAAAATGCCTACGTCTGTTCTTGTTTCTGCTAAGATCAGGGTGGACGAGACTGTGCTGTGGACAGATTTAACTGTCATTCAGAAATGGCTGATCCTTAAAAACAAATTAGATCTACTCTACCTTCCACCTTCAGTGAAGGAATAAATGCTAGCTGCTGTGGTTAACATTCTTGTTTACATCATCAGCTCAGGGGCATGCCTCACTGCCCTACAGCTGTATAAAACCCGATCCTCCCTATTTACATAGAAATGTGCGTTTATGCAGCTCTGTCTTATCTGGATCTGGTACTAATACCAAACAGAGCAAAATACCAGTGGTCTCAAAACGAGCCAGCTTGAAACTGATACACAGCAGGCACGCCTACGTAGTGCACACACTGTGTAGGGGTGCACACAAGAGTGGCGGGGCCCTCAGGCTTTCCAAAGATGGGATCCCAGGGTCTGACAGCATTTCCACATCAGAGGTGGTGCTCAATTCAGGACACGCTGCTGCTGGCCCCACGCAAGACAAGCCTGGGAGCCTCAAAGAAACCTTGACAAAGCTGAGCCCCAGAGATGGAATACAGCAAGGGAAGCACAGGTCTCAACCACCCAGCGATCTCAACACAGGCCCTGAGGAGTAAGGAAAGGTAGTGCAAAAGTGCAAAGCCTAAGAACGAATTACGTCTTGTGACTAGCCTCCTAGGAGGCAAACTTGCTTTCCGTGAGACACCAGCTCTTCAAGGATGAAGGTAAAGCAGTCTGTTCTGAAGCTGACAAATGGAAGTCTGTAGCTGCGAAAACAGTCCCGCAATACTGCGTTCCACCATCTGCCTGTTTCATTTCAACTTGCACACTTATCCACGAGACATCTGTATTAGCAGGGCAAAAGTATGTATGGCTAGGGAGAAGCTGTAGGAGTCCTTGAAGTCAAGGTGGCCGAAGTATTTTTGTTGGTGTCCTTGGGCAAAGAAAGCTGCAAAATACAAAGCCTGACTCATCAGGCTGAGCTAATGAGAGCAGTAACTTAGAATTGCGAAAATGTGAGCCAAAAAAGTCAAGCAAGCTAGGAACCTCAAACTAGGTTCTTCTAAAGGAGAAAATAAAATCTAAAAAGAAGAGTGTACTAGCAGAAGAAAAGTGAACCGACTCAGCTGTGTGCACAGGGTGCAGGTCAAGACAGGCTGCATGAGGATGCTTGGTGGAATGAGTAAAAGAAATGAAGAGTCCTCATTTTTTTCTGGGTGACAGCAAGGCCCTTTAGGACTTAAATATTAAAAAAAGGCTTTGTGCTTATTTTCTTAGTGTCACGGCAAGCTGCAGAAGTATTCAGCAGAGCGTATATAAAACTATTTTCACTGGGGAGGAAAGGGGAGACTTACACATTTGTGCTGTTAAATACAACCAGCTTCTCTTCTGTAGTATCTCAGTTGTGTCGTAAGTTTATACACACCTCCAAATAGCAAGTACGGTAGTGTGTTATGACTTACGTGTGGGGTTGCTTTCTATAAATACAAGTGTAACTGTCCTCCTGAATACAAGCTCATTTATTAGTTGAAGCTTCAGTTTCATAGAACATTTGGCTGAAAAAGACCCAATGTCATTTAATCTATGTTCTGCTCCAAGGCAGGATCAACTCTAGCTATCTAATTCCTGTCTGAGGCTTGTCTACGATGATAGGAGATTGAAGATATCAATAGGCAACATACTCCAAAGCTAAACTGTTTTACATTAGACAGGTTTCCCTGATTGTTAGCTTAAATCATCATCATTGTAACAAAGTCCTTCCCTTTTCAAAGTCCACTGTGAAAGAGTTACTTTTTTCCTTCTTTGCATCAACCTTTTATGCATTTGAAGATCACTACTGTATTTCAGATGTCTTCTCTCAACAATCCCAATTGTTTCAACCTTCCTCCGGGGTCACGTTTTTGAGATCTATGATCATTCATGGCACTCTCCTCTGATCTCTTTCCAGTTGGTCCACGTATTTTTTGAATTTTGGAGCCCAAAACATCATGCAAATGTCAAGAGCCATAATGCTCTCAAGCCCTACAACTTTTGCTACTTCTCTGCAACCCACAAGACCTTGTGTGAAAGGAAATCAGGTTAGTTTGGTATGATATGCATTTGACAAATCTACGGGGCTGTTACTCATTTCCTTGTTTCTTCCTACACTGTTAAAATAATTTATTTAATTGTTTCAGTAGTTTTCTACAAAACGAAGTTAAACTCACTGATCTATAATTCCTCGTCCCCTCCTCGTTTCCATTGTGAAAAAGAGACATTATGTTTGCCTTTTTCTTGTCTTCCAGGAACTCCTTCACTTCTCACAGACTTTCAAGGGCACTTGCTAACAGTTGTGCAGCACAGGCCTGGCTGAAGCAAAGAACCCTGAGATGAGTTTCACTATATCAAACTGACTGGGAAAACATCTCACCTAAGTCCCAACTTGTTCTTCCCCTGTTTCAGGCTGAGTTCTTACCTTTGTTATTGACACCAGCTGTGTTTCTCTTTGACAGATACAGTCTTGAAAAGGCATATACTCAGTCATATCAAACATGTTTTCATATTTTGAAAAACAGTAAGAAAATATTCAAGTACTAGTCGTTTCACTGACTGAACATAACGGATGAAGCAGTAGCAAGTGGCTGTAAGCATAACTGATTTAGCAGTATTTTGTGAATTTCCATCAGAACATCTTATTATCACTAAGGGGTCATAAGTGACAAGTATCTCAATGATGTTTTGATAAATGAATTCTAATAAATAAAACTATCCAAAATACCTGCAGACTTAAAATAAACACATACATTTTGCTCATGTTAAGCAAAAGACAGTATTGTCTACTTGTGATTTCTGAATACACTACATGCTTCGATTTTCACTTGTAAATCCCAGCTTTTAGGTGTTAAGATTTTACTGTGAGACTGGGCAGATATACCTTACAATGTTTTCAAATAACAAACCTGAAATTTTATCAATATTGGATTAGGCAACAGAACAGAATAAGAACAGAAAGAAAAATCCAGCCTTCCATAAATAAGGTGGTCTTACTGTATAACCACTAAAATCTCAGCTGAGAAGACTATGTTGTCTGCCCGGTAATAAGCATTTATTTTATCTATGCAAGAATATTATTCTACTATTAGTATCATACTGGTAGCATTACTTGTCACACTAAAACCAAAACCATTTAAGCAGAAAAGCTAGCAACCAACAACAATTTTTTTTCAACACAGCAAGGTATGAACGTTACTGTTGTTTTGCTCAAAAGCTTATCTCCTGACTTACCCAGGGTGAGGGATTTGTGTGTGGAACAGAAAATGATAGCCACTGTGTCTGCTGGTGTGAAACTAGAGTTATTCCTAGAAAAGAAAGAGTTTTAATAACCTCTGATAGCAAAAACCTTCTTAAAACATCATCGATCAAATATATTAATTTGAGGATCCATATACACGTTCACATCACTTTGATCAGGTCTAGTGACAGAAATAATTCTACCCACAAATGAACAGTAGTGTCTGATTTTATTTTTTTTTTAAAGCAGAATTGTTTCTCAGTTGTGGCAAACTCTTTAATGAATATGCTTCCGTCTGAAGGAGAATAATTCTGAACACATGGTATGTAGGACACAACTTTATGCTAGCCAAGGTTATTTTTGCAAACATGCTATATCACAGCAGTGGCCAGCTTGCCTCTGTTAAAAAAGAGAATGACCTATGATTTCTTTTCCTAGTATGTAATGTTAACAAAATGCTCAACTTGGATAGTATATTGAGTCTACACTGAGCACTGCTTAGAATATGTAGTTATCTTCCACTTCAGAGAAAAACTGCATCTAAGGGTTTACACACTGGGAGTAAGGCCAGGAAGGGTGGAAAAATAACATACAGTGAGAGGTATATGACTGGCCAATGGATCACCCTTTGGTCCAAATTAGGAATCAATTTATGAGATTCTAAATATTTACCATACTGAGTTGGTTACTACTTACGGCATTTTAGATTTTACAGTTGGGACATATCTTCCCCCCCAGGTTAGGCCTAGCAGTTCAAAAGTTATTTTAAAATGCCTTCTAAGGTCAGGGTATGATCTTGTCACAGAGAAATTTTCTTGTGGCACTAAAAAAGCATAGTAGCTCGAAGACATTGCACCCTGCTTTGTGATTCTCCTTTATGGATATTGTATAATTTATATAAAGCATATATCTGGAGTCTGCTGTATTGTGGCACTTCCCATTCAGCAGAGTACTGCTAAGAAAAATACTCCAGTAAGCCTAAGTGAGAGGACAATGGTGGATACTCTGACCAGCTCAAGTGATGCACTAAGTCACTGGCTAACACCATTCTCACGGTACTATTTTTTGAGAAGTGAATGTACAACTGTTCTTCATGGTTGATATTTAAAAAGAAAAAAAATAGCTCTACCAAACATTAGTTCAGGACAACTGTCTTTTAAGAATCACCATATAAACGTAACACATTTGACATATACAGAGAAGAGTGAATTGCCAGTCCAGCAAATGTATCTTGAGATGTAAAAAGTCAAACTGAGTTCTCTCTCTCATATGTCATCAGCATGTCTGCAGGGCAAATTATACCTTCAGTGACATCTGTGCAAATCCATTTTTTTCAGTGGATGAGGTATAGCAGTGATTGATTGAGATTTAACAACTCTGTAATTAACACACAAGAAAGGACAGAATTCAGGTCCTGCTCTCTTAGCCTACGAAACTCTAACAGAGAAAATGCAGTAAGGACAGTATGAAATACCAAAATGAGGTCACCCCTATTCAGAAACCTGCCCTTACATATTTGCATAAACTGTATCACCTAAATCAAAGATATCACACAAAACAAATGTTCAAAGGTTCTGATTCAGCACATTCAATTACCTTGTAGAGAAGAGGAAAGTCAAAAACATGAAGCTCATCTGAACAGAAAATACTGGAAGAGAAACAAGTTAAAATTAGACTTACATCACAGAAGTAAAGATCACTTAAATCTCTGCAGTTGCTGTGTACATGCCTTTTGCCCCCATACAACAGGTCAGAAGCTAGGCTAGACCAAGTCTATGCAGAGAAATCCAATGACAGACAACCTTTAAAGACTGTCTGGAAGAACAATATGTATCATTACAGCCAAGAAAGCTAGAGCTAATATCGTGGCTACTCAAGTTCTTCCTGAGGTAACTCTTCTGAATCAAGTATTTCTTGACACGATGAACGGCAGGAAAGTTCACTACTGCATGCTGCACATCTGCAGCATTGGGTTGACAACATAAAGTCTCTCAGACATGCTCTAGTTGCCAAGTATTTAAATTTAGCCCCTTCCTATTTAACAGGAGAAAGTACAATGCGTAAACATGATCACAATAAATATTCTCACACACTGGGTATATTACTCTCCCGATGAACGATCACTGTTAAGAGGAGATCATCATAGACGTTTTAATTCCCTCTGAGACAAAGGCTAATTCCTGAACTGGGCAGTGTACATCAGACAAAGCAGCTTCCGTTCAAGCTCAGTCAGCTTTGTAAGTGCGGACGGTTTTTGAGCATCCTGAGGGGAGCTCTCCTCTCTGCCAGCATTCCTGACACCCGCAGGGGTTGTGGGATGCACAGAGCCCACCCTTGGTCTGCGGATACGTGGGGAGAAGCAGGCAGCTTCCTGCTGTGCTGTGAGCAGCTGCTGGGACTGCAGAGACTGAGCATCGTGCCGGAGCGCAGGAACTCCCCACAGAGCTGGAGGAGAAACCCTGTGACCTGCCCAGACCTTTTCTGGGTGTTTGTGGGTTACGGGGGGAAGGGCTTTTACTTGCAGCAGAATCTGGGGTGGGTTCTCTCCCTTTTCCTTGCAAAACTTGTGAATGCAATAAGGCTAATGTGTCCCATAGGGTAGTGCAAGCCAAGACAATACATTTGATTTTGACCCCAGTTTACAACTGGGCAACATGGCAGGGATATTAGCTATTACCAGTGACATTTTCCATTCTCTTACATACATTTCCTAGGATGTATAAATGTCACCTCAGCATGCACTTAATTCTTCCTTCAGAACTAAGGAGACAATACATTTGATTTTGACCCCAGTTTACAACTGGGCAACATGGCAGGGATATTAGCTATTACCAGTGACATTTTCCATTCTCTTACATACATTTCCTAGGATGTATAAATGTCACCTCAGCATGCACTTAATTCTTCTTTCATGAACTAAGGAAGAAATCCATTGTTGCTGAATTACAATTTTTCTGCAAATAAGTACATTAATTTAATATGCACAGAAAAAAATCCCTTAATACATATAATTCTGTAAAGCAATAAGCATGTGTTGCTACCAATTATCCCGTGTGCATATTTTGCTGTGGCTAGAATATTAACATAAAAATTACATAAAAACATTAATCAGCAGAATAAGAAATGCAATTTCATCTCAAACTCCTCGTGCTACTTTCACATCCTAGTATAACACAACACACACATCCAGCCAACACATCCAATGGCGGTACAGAAACTTTTTCTAGAATACAATGTGCATATCCATCTCCACAACTTCCTTGTTTTTTTGTTTTATAAATATTTTAGAAAAAAACAAATGTCTAATATGTTCCAAGCAGTTCCAATGCTCATGTTAATATTCTTACTAAGAAACTCCAGTTATGCACACTGGCAATGAAAATGTATATATAATGATTTTCAGTGTATCGCACTGCAAGTGGTATACATAATTACACATGGCACAAATGCAGAGTTGTCTTGCAGAGAAATAAAAGACAAGAAAGGCAATGAAAGCAACCACTCTACACCAACTGTTCAAGGAAGAACATGCCTTTTTAACTAAAAAAAGAACTTTTTTTTTCCCAAAGTAGCAGTCAGCACAGTAACATAAAATTACTTCATTCTGAGTTTCTCTGCATGTTAAGTCAGAGTTGAAAATTTCCATATCCCTCTTTTTTTGCTGACAACTCTGCACTGATTTAAGTGCATCTGGGATGTGGTCCTTCTCAGGTGCCTATGCAAAGAAGTTATTTCCTCCATTTTGAAAAAAAGCTCCTTAGCATGGCTTTCTTCTTCTTTGCTTTCAGAATAAAGTATTTATACAGTACCATTTATAATTCCATATAGTATTTTATACACGTATAGCGTTCATAATCCAAAAACCTGCCACAATTAGGATAGAATAAGAACTGACCCACAAAGAGCAGGGGCAAATTTCCTCCTGACTTTAGTGGAGGTTGGTTTGATAGAAGATACATTATTTTTATTAGACAGAAACATGCGCACATACACACACTTCAAGGTAGGTGATGCATTGATTTCTTGAAATCTAACAGCTTTAGAGTGTATGAGATGTGACATACTGTAGTATACTGTAGTTACCTCTCCCCCAAGCAAAGTGAAACTCCTGTCTCCGGACAGTATGAAGCAAGATGGGAATTCCCTACTGGGAGAGGAGACGGTGCCTGTATACCACTGCCTTTTCCTGGGAAGTAGTGATCTGCCAGTGTATTTTTAACTGATGGCAAGGATACCAGCAGTCTATTCTCATGTGTGTGTTATTTAAGGCTGAATGACTAGAGTGCTTCTAAAACAAACTCTGCAAGAAATGCGTTCATCCACAGAAATATATCAACACATTCAAACTCCCAACTAGTTTCTAGGTTTATAATACGGTAAGGAAGAACTATTTACAAGTTATAACAGTGCTTTTGAGTAACAGCTCAAACCCAAATCTTTCCTTTCTCTTTGGAATGCAACATCTGTGCATTTACGGTTGTTTAATAACAAAAAAGACAAAACAGAATGGCCGTAAACACTTGGAAAGTAATATCATGCCCCTTTAGAAAGGGAGGACCACTGAGCAATCTCAGGCACACCTAAATAGCAGGCTTCATCCCTCTCTAAATGCTTACTCAATCCCTAAAAGCATCCAGCCCCTAAGAAGTCTGGTAATCAGGTTTACTAGACGCATTAAAAGTACAAGCTCTAGCCCCATGCCAGTATCCCTGCAGCCCCACACTTTCCAGTACATATAGCTCATTACACACCTGAAACACAGATAAGAGAGATGCTTTAAGGCTGAACTTACTTATGAACACTATTATAATCAAGCTAAATTTATCAAGGTCAATATTTGGATTGGCGAAAGTATCACAGAATGTTGTGTAGATGATCATCAGGAGCACACAGCTGCTGATAGCGCCAAATGGAGGCTTCTTCCTTTCAAGCCAGTCCTTGATGTACCTTCGGACAATCTGAAACACAGAAACCAACAGGTTGCCTCTTTCCAAAGATGCAGGGAGCCAAGTTGGGCATCACAAAGTGAATCTGACAGCAGAAAGACACAAAGAGAAGAGAGTAATTTGGATGACGGCCACAGTGGATTTCAAAGCTTCCCTGCCACACAACTCTTCTTCTGGGGAATTTAACATTTGTAGTGCAACTTCCACTGGGCGTCCATAATGAGAGTATATTTTCAAGTACATTCAAATCCATCCTTAATCATGCCAAATGTTCTTTGCTAGCTGTCACTGAGACATGCCCATTAAGCCTCCCCAAAGTTTATCTCCTCTGCTGATACTAATGGATGTATGTAATTATCACAGTCCCCTTTGCATCAACAGACAATTCCAAGTGCAACTTTGGGAATCTTAAAAATCTGACATCTTCAGGAATTTCATGACGGTAGATAATCGAAAGTGATCCATGGAACATTTTAATATTTAAATAGCTAGCGATGCACCAGAAGTTTTTAATTAAATTATAACTCAAGCTTGAAAAGCAAAAGTGCATGTGTTGTGGGAGTTTAAATAATTCAAACTCTGAATATCTAGAGTTTTTGTAAATCCAAAGACAAATGCCATTTGCACGTTTTTAGAATACCAGAATTAACACATGAAAACAAGGAAACCTTAGCAGAACTTTTGCACTTTCAGGAAACAGAATCTGAAGTTGTATTTCAAGAATTTTTTAGAAACAACTATAAATTTTAAAGTAACTTCAACTTTCAAATTATGCCAAATACTACAGGACTAAGCCTTAGCAGATACAATGCATCTATTTCAGCCCTGCCTGGGGAGTCGCTTTTAGTTTTTCTCTTTACTTTATATGGTTTGAAAAAACTTTTTAAAGCTTTTATCATACAGCTGCCATTTGTGTTAATTTTTCAGCAATCACATTATCTTGCCTAATTTCTCCCGAGACCTCCCAATGTTCTCTGTTACCATGCTCCTTCCGAAATAATAGCACGAGACCCTGAAACACTTCTACCAGAGGGCTCTAAATGTGTCTCGTTACCTTCCCATAGCGGTACCATTAATAAACATCACCAGTATCGGTTTAGTAATACAGAACATTTTAGAGATATTCAAGATTAATACCAAAGCATCATCACCAATGCTACCATAGGACCTTTTCACACACTAACTGCCAAAGCTGCAGGATTGACCTCACAGCTGTCAGTTTTCCTCACTGCCTTCCCAGCTTGTTTGCAAGCTTCTCAACAGGGAAGTCCTGGAAGCAGCTATCCCAGTGACCACAGCAAATAGACTTCATCGACCACATGGCAGGGCAGATACTAAAAATTTGGCACACGGGGTTCACGCAAAGCTAAGCAGGCTGAAGACCAGCACTTACCTCCCAGCACTTCTGTGCTTCTCGCTGATGAAAAATAACAGATTTACAAGAATCCATGTAAGGGAATGCTCAACACCCCAGTGAAAACACCCAACTTTAAGTTTCACACTTGCCAGATGTTAAAGAGAACACAACTGAGAATATACGGCCAAACTCCTGAAAGAGCATCCAACGGAGCTCCTTCAGCCACCTCCTCATATGCCACCAGGTAGGAATAAACCACTACATTGACGAAAGAGAGGCAAGAAAGCTGAGTGAAGACATTTAGTGTGCAGTGTGAAAGACATCAAATGGGAAGACCAGATTAGTCTAATTTGAGCAGATTTGGGACTCTGTAATTATGAGAAGCAAAAAGCAAAGTTTTTCACCTCTAAAGTGAGTGTGTTTTAAGGAAGTTAAAAAAAAATTCCTATTATCCCATAAATTAAGGTCACATTGGGGAAAAAGAAGAGCTACTTAAAACCACCTATTTATTTAGGGTCCTTCCAGAAGATTTATACTGAAAGTAACGAGATGTTGAAAAAGAAAAGTGATAGTTAATTATGCCACAATACAACTTGTACTGGAGGTATTTATTACAAAAATGATAACCTTGTGTCTGTACAAGGTATAATTATAACATACTTGACAATAATAACTTTATATACATATTTAAAAATGACTGACATATAAGAGAAAGAAAAAACATTTTAAAAATGAAACCGCAAGCAGTATTTCCTCAAAAGGCTGATATCTTCTCAAAATATCCACCTCTATCTAGTCTGGAATTATTGTGAATCAACAACCATAAATACCAGTACGGCTTCTTACTGCACATTGTATTTTAAAAAAAATGACATAGTCGGACCCTGAAGAACTAAATCGTGGCTTCAGGATATCATCTAATCAACCCAGTGCATTGCTAACACTTACATACTGTAAAAACACAGACAAAATACATCCTCTCTAACACAGAATCCCATACATTTTGATCTTCTCACAAGGTTCAAGATCTATAATTTCAGAGGTCAATTCAGCCTATGATCACTGACTCAAGGTGATCTGAATTCTTGTATAACTTAAGAGGGGAGAGATATAACCCTACAGGTATCTGTAAAAACTCAACTAGATTTTTCACAGGGAAGCTCATGTCAGCTGATTCATTTTGACTGAAAAACAATCCATTTATTACTTATTCATGCCCTGCAGAGTTGTTTCAGGACAAAGATGCTTTGAAAGCCTTTTAATTCTTAACCTAATTCTGTAACTTTTCAGGGTTAACACAGAACTTAAAAAATATTGTGAAGATTTGTAGTGAAATAACAATAAATCCCACAAATACAATAAAGACAACACACAATAAAGTACAGAGCCAGCCAGCCAGCGAACCCTGTTGTTCTGTGGTGCCGGCACTCTCTGACAGGAAGTCTAATAGAGGTTGAAAAGCCACGAGCAACGCAGATTGAAATGATTAAATAAAGAATCTCATAGGCAATTCGGAGACTGGACAGAGATATTACGCTTCATTTGTCTGCAAACACAGCAAAAGCTAACACAATCATTTTTGCATGTATGGCCTGTATGAAGGATGCCAGACTTAGGCACCTTACTGGTGTGTCACCTCTCAGTTGAAATTACAAAGTCCAGTATTTTGAAGTACATACCAGTACAATGGAGGACAAGGGAGGGACAAGCACCGCAGAAACAAGCAGTTGAGAAAAAGTCTGAACTGATACTCCTGTGAAAAGATGAACTTACAGCCTGGGGTAGAAATGTGAATGACTGACATCCAAAATACATGCATCAGACCGGCACACTGATGGAAAAGAGCAAAAAGAGGAGTACTCTTCAGATGCAGTAATTCCACAGTTCCTAGTGAAAGGGAATTCCTCACATAAAAAAATGCAGTTAAAAACAACATCTTGGGGAGGGGGGCAGAGATATTGGAAGAATAATCATTATACGAAACATAACAGCATTTAAAAACATACTTTACAAGGGGAAATGCTGCAGAATGCTCCCATGTTGCAGAGAACGCATGCATAAATTTTTAAGGTACAAATCTCAAGGTACAAAGGCCTTGCAACCCGTATCCCTGCTGAGACTCCTGCAGAATTACTTCTGCAAGGAGGGCTTTGGGGCCTCTGGTCCTATGGTAGTGATCACATGAAGCATGATGAACTGCAAAGATTTTTGTGCAGATTTAAATGCCAACCTCAAAGAACAAGGAATTCCTGATGGCTGACCCGGAGGTTGCACATGAAAGAACAGTGCATGGTGAATCCTTCCCTCAAACTGTGGTTTAGTGGAGAGAAGACAGGAAGAGAAGCAAAACTTTGTAGTAGGTGATATTTTATAAATAACCTGCATGATGGAAGATGCTGATAAACTCACAGAAAAGTTAGACGATAAAAGAACATAAATCTGTCCGTCAGGTAACTACTTCCTGGTGACTACGTCCTGGCAATCTCCAAAGGTTTTTGGAAAGGCATCAGCTCAAATTTGCTTCAAAACACAGTTCCAGGCTCAAACTTTCCTCTTGACCGGGATTTAATTTTTAACAACAAATGAATGTAATTACACATGAATTAACAGTAGTGTCCCCATTTCAATTCAGTTCTTCTAGCAGAATGGTTACATCCACAGTATTTCTCCTCCAGGCTGCTCCGTATCCTGCCATAACCTCCTTGTCTGAACGCCAGCCTCAATAAGCAAATGGGCTAACTGCTCGTATGTTTAATTCACTTAACATCCCCTCTACAAAGAAACACAATCTGCTATTCCAGGAAAGCAGGTAAATAACGCTCATCTGTTATAAGATCATACATGAAAATAGCAGAAGATATATTATAGAAAAACAATTCACTTATCGTCAGTAAAATACAGCTAGACTGTTTCCACCTACCTGCTGAAGCGCTGGACATACAAGATAAAAAATGCAATAAGCAATGTCATTCATTAATGTTCATTATTAATTGAACTAAATAGGGCAAGGAGCTCCTCCCCACCATGTATATGGAATGGAATAATTTCTGACATTTGTAATACAGTACATTTTTAAAAAACTACCTAGGTATTCAACTTAATTTTTTTTTTAAACCCATGAATTTAAAAAAACCCAGGGGAAATGGTTATGAAGTCACCTTTTCTGTTTCCATTATACACAGAAGACTATCTCTTGGTATTTACATCATTATGCAAAGTAAATTTTTCCTTATTCTATCAACACTTTTGGACTGATTTAATCTTTAACAGAATTTACAATGTTTTTACTGCACTTCTGCTCCTCTTGTTTATTATGTATTGGTATGTACTTCTAAGTACCTGGGAAAAACACTTGGGGCTTTACCATTTCAACAAAGAGACACAAGTAATTTTTTCCTTGTGTTGAAACACACAAGGAAACAAGCTGAAAGTATGCTGGATTATCACTATACCTAAATGCTGCAGTTACCTTATTTACTTTGTCTTTTAAGGTAAGATTCCTAACTCATTCTTAACTAATGTTGTTACTACTTATAGCAACAGACCTTTGCAATGAACTCTGCAATGCAGAAGTTTCTTTTGAAAAGCTTTGAGTCAGGCTAGATATTTGCAACAGTTTAATAACTTCTCAATATCTCTTCTTATATAGTGATGG